TTGAGCCGCCTCTTGCAGGGGAGGTCAATGTGGCAGGTTTGGGGGAAGAGGAAACACTGGCGTGGAGGGAAGGTTCTAGAAGTGGCAGAGACATGGAGCCCCTTGCATCCAGCAGAGAACTGGGTGGGACATTCGATGGGACCCCACCCTGTCCCATAGCGACACGTCCCTTGAACACAGGATTCCTTGATGTGAGTCTGTACCCAGTGTCTTTTTTGTTCCAAGAACCGTGCAGGCACAAGATCCCATGAGGTCCCAGGATTTCCACCCCAAGTAAGAGACAGACTGTGCTGGCAATGACCGTGAGACACGGGACCTCAGGCCAATGGAGAGGGAGGGGTCCAGAGAGGCAAGTGCCAAGGCCAGTGCAGAAGCAGAGAAGCCAGCTCCTGTTTCCACAGTCCAGTTTTAACACTTGGGTAGGCTTGAGGTCGACCCAGGGCTGGTCACCAACCAGCTGGGTGGCCCTCAATAAGCACGTTACTTCTGTTTCCTCCTCTTAAAAAGGAAATGATAGCTACTCTCCAGTATTTCAGTAAAAATGACCAAGATAAGACAGATGAGCCAGCCAGCATGATATTTGGCTTGGTAGACACTCCATACCTACGTGATCCCCCCCCCACCACCAAAGAACTAGCCCAGGAGCACCCAGAAACTGGTAGGCCATGCAGTGGAGAGGATGGGCTCTGGAAGTAGGCAGTCTAGAATAAAATACTTGTTCTACCACTTGTTCACCATGTGACCATGAACAAGTTACTTAACCTCTCTGTGCCTCAGTTTCCTCATCTGTAAAATGGAGATGTTCCAACCTTGTTGAAGATCCGTGAAAATTTAATGTTAGGAATGTCACAAGACAAAACACAGATAAGCCACACTCAGGGCTCTCGGCACTCCCCGTGTTTTAAATCGTTAAGCTACACAACCAGCCTACAGCTGATGGGTTCCCCACTTTGCAGATGAGGCAACTGGAATTCTGAAATGCTCCATCTGCTTCCCAGGTGTACCCCGCCAGCAATGGCTGAGCAGGGATTCAAACCCGGGGAGTCTCCCTCCAGAGTCAGCTTGTTTAATCACTCTGTTATGAGATTAAGCCCCAGGAATGTTCCCTGTTATTGCTACATGGTGACACCAGAACAGGCTGGGGAATCTGAATGCCCCATTCCGGCCTCTGCAGGCCTTCGCCCTCCTCCTCCTCCTCCTCCTCCCCAAGCCCCATCTCTTTTCTGCATCCGACATTCGTCACGCAGTTGTGAGAAGTGTAGTATTTGAGATCACCCAAGATCTCCATTCCAATCAAATTTAGATTACGTATGATGCTTAAACTTTAATTAGAGTTCAATTCCTCTTTTATTTTGGTTTTATCTTAATCATCCCTTTTATCCACTGGTCAGAAGCCTGTAATTTCACACAGTCACCCAGAGATGCTGCCTTGTGCGTTCAGGACTCTGAGATGGTCGGTTGCCATCAGACACGTCCTCTGCCAGAGAACTGCTTCCTGGAGAATAATCGAGCCCAGAGAGTGTAGAAAAAATGTGATTTCTCCAAAAGGCTCTTTTCTAAAAATACTATCACACTAATATGTTTTCCCCGATAACATCTCCACTGTGAAAAATGAACACATAGCGACACGGAGAAGATGGGACAGTGCTCAGCAGGAAGGACTGAGAGAGGGCCCTAGAGACCAAGCAGGAAAGAGAAGTCTCAGGGCTTTAGAGCTTACAGGAATCCCAAGACCATCTAATCCAGTTATTTGCAAAGTCCTTTTAAGTGCAGATTCTTTTGTTCAAGTGAAATCTTACCCAGAAGATTTATAGAAAAGCTGAGATGCTCTTACTGAGTCACAAGGGTGGTGGGGGGGGGGGTGGCATTCAGAATCCAACCCCACTCCACACCCTTCCTCTCACCCCTTATGAGGGCTCTGGGGAACCCCTAGGGTTCCTCAGGACTCAGTTTGAAAATCACTATCTTAATCCCCCTTCCTCCCTCTACCATGGAGAGAATGAAGCCCAGAGAAGCTGCCTGACTTGCCCGAGGTCACAGAGCCAAGCCCGCAGCCCAGGTTGTCCCCTTATCTTTCTTTAGCAACTTTTCCATGATGACACCTAAATCCTTGAATGAACTGCCTTTTGTTTGCTCCAGCTCCAGTGTGAGTTTGCATGTTTGTGCCCATGCCCAGTGTTCCCAAGAAAACCTAACAAACCAGTCCCTCGCTTTCCCTTTAAAGCTGGGAGCCTGCAGTTTGGACACAATGTCTTGGCCGCCAGGAGCCCGCTGGGAAGGCAGAGGTTGTAAACCTCGCCCTGCAGCTGACCTGGGGCTGTTTCACCATCTAAATTAGGTTGAGTTTCTGCTCCCCAGGGAAGGCCTGAAAATGCCTTAAGTTCTCAGAGAGACACCCGAGAAGAGAAAGCCGGCAGCCAGGTCAGGGCCCCTGGCCCACCCGCTGAGGACACATGACTGTCCTCTTGGGGAACAGGGCATGGGCGAGGAGCCACGTGGTGGCTCCGTGTGTCCAGATGTGGACACGTTGAATAAATTCATGTGGTTGATAATCGCACTGGTGCTCACAGTGGAAAAGCCCAGTGAAGGTCTCTCAAGCCACCTGTGCCCTTTACCTGGCCGAAAGGGGTAGGTTGGAAGAAATGGTAAAGAAGGGGGGACTCAGATCAATGTGCCGGGTAAAGGAAGTACTGGGAGCATAGCAGCTAAGGACATTATCTTAGATGGCCCTCCCAGCAGCCCAAGAACAGAGGTCATTCCTTGCATTGACTGATGTCGCTCAGACAGGCTCATTAACTTATTCTGAGTGGCACAGCCAGAAAATGGATTCAAATTCTGAGTCCCTCCAAAGCATCTCACTGCAGAACTGGCATCCTTAACCACTACCCCACACTGCCCCACCCTTCCTTCCTATCACACAGGAAAAAGGGCAAATGATAGGACATACTAAGGCATAGGATTCAGCCAGCCCCAGGGGAGAGGTGACACAGACAGGCACTAGGGCTGGATTTCTGAGTTTCCCCCCTCCAGCTTTGCCCCAAGAATTCCCCAGCACACGCTGGATCTTACGAATCTCCCAGAGGCAAGAATTCTCTGCTTGTTTACTGAATCCCCTGGACCAGGGGGTGAGTGAGCTGGGTACAAAGCAGGATAAAGGTAAACTTTCTGCATGTGAGCACCATCCCCCCCCCTCCAAGGAGCATGTCACACTGTATGTCACCGTCATCAAAGGGGCTGTGCATAAACCTGAAAAACCAAACGAACCTGTCTGTAGGTGTCACTTATATCACAAGGCTACAGGTGCCTTTTTTCCAAGGTCTGCTGGTGCCGGGAGCGCCTGCCTTCACTTGTCTCTGGACCTACAACCGCTGTCCTCACGTAAGCACTTTTCTTTACTCTCTTGGATGAACCTTAAGGGGCATCAGGGCTCAGAGGCTATGCCCAGGACCTGGGTCTGTTTCTCAGTCTCCAGTTCCAGCGCCAGCCCACTGTGACTAGGCGGTCACAGTGCCTCCCGGGAGCTGTTTGACTCAGATGCCACTGCCTGCCTGAGAGGGACATTTTTCCCTCCCCAGGCTATGGGGCCACCCACCCCCTCTCTCCAGCCCCTGTTCCCCTGGATCACTTGATAGAAGTAGAGGGAACTGAGAGTGAATGCTGACAGGGGCTCCACCCTCCACCCTTCCTAAAGCTGTCTGTACACAGACAAAAATTCAGCTTCAAGCTGAGCCCCCCACCCCATACCTGCACTGGACTCCTCAGATCCCCCATTGGCCTGCCCCCACCCTCAGACACAGAGGACTGCCTTGTTACAGTTTGGGGCATTTTTTAGGAATTTTTCTGTACAAAAGAGTTTAAAGGAATCCCACTTCACCCTCTCACACCCCATTAGAGTAGTATATTTCCAGAAAGGCAATGGTGAAGGTTTTTTTCCACTGTCTTCCCTGGGGTATGTGGGTTTCCTGTGTTTCTCCCCCTGCTGGCAGCAACTGGTAGCGCATGCTCCCTCCTGACACAAGCTGGGGACCCGCATCCATATCTGCATGAACATGCTGAGAATTTCATGAACTGGAAAGGAAGGGTGTCACAGATCATTAGGTAGGACTTCTTCATTTCACAGCTGAGAGAACTGAAGTCCCCAAAGGCTCCGTGATTTAGGAAGACAGCTTTGTGGTTTGGTCTAAAGATTCAGGAAAATGGGTTATTTGCTTATCCGAGTGAAAGCTGGGTTTTGTGGTCTTCGTGTCCTCTGTGAGAATCTTTCTTCATGAGTCAAGGTGTATTTGACAGGAGTTTCCTGTGCCATTGTCTTCTTCTCTCTGACATTGCCAAAGTAGCGATTTTTCGGTATGTTGACGGTGGTTGATTTTTCTCTCTGGGACAGGAATGGATGCAGATATTATGCCAGTCTTCGAGTGAGCATAATATATTAACTCATTTTATTAAATCCTTAGGACATTCTAAGGATTTCATGTGAAAATTCCCATTTTAAGGGTGAGGGAACAGGAGCTCGGGGATGGTCGTGAATGTTGATATAGCACAGCGGTATGAAAATACAAACCAAGAATTTGAGCAGATGGAGTAGTAGGAAATGGGATCTGTGTCTCCTGCCTCGTGAGTGGCCGAGGTAGAATTAAATGCCCCCCCCCCCCCCGCGCCAATGCAAAACAGGTGGACTTTGTGTTGAAGCCCCACAGCAAACGATATGGCGTACCTTCTATGGGTCTATGCTGCACCTTCCAAAAAACAGCTAAAAACAAACAACCAAACTCCCTAAGCAAGTTGAAGAAAAATGAGGACTCGCTTGATAAGCCGCCAGCTTGGCTCTCAGGGTGGCTGTGGTTTCTCCCAGAGCAAACACTCATGTGCCCAACCCACAATCTTTCACAGCAACTGTTGAAATATCCCACTCAATTTTCCCCCTTCCCACTGAAGAGTGGGAAGTTGACTCCGCCTCCCCCACAAGGCTCAGGACCCAGTGGACACTCAGGTGTCCCAGGGGTTTGGGAGGAAGAAAATATTTTTCTTCCCAGCCACACTGCCCAGATGGTCGGATTGGGGAAGGTCCTCTCAGCCCCCTTTGGTCCGCGGTTTGCACCTGCGTGGCCTTGTTCTATCCGGCGATGTTTTGATACATAAACAGCCAATGTGTAGGTGCTTAATTGGGTAGATTTTTGGTCACATGTCCGGAGCAAAGTTGATGATCCCCGCCAGGGTCAGGAAGGAATTTTCCTCCTCTGGTAAACTGGCCAAGGCTGGGTGGTTTTCTCCTTCGCCTCTCTCTGGAAGGCTGAGCAGAGGTGCCTGGGTGCTGAGGCCATGGGCCCTGCACCTGTTATTGCTGCCTCTGGTCCGCGAGGGGGTGAGAAGCACACAGGCCTGTCCTGACTGGGTGGACCCTCTGTGCGGGCCGTCGGTGTGTAAGCTGGCTCCGAGACAGGCTAGGAAGCCACCAGAGGCATCAGGGGACCTCAGCTTGCATACCATCGCTGTCTCACTCCCAAAGGTACCTGACGCCGGTCTTTCTCATGCCTGATTCTTCCACCTTGTGTTAATCGTGTTTAATCCTTTTCTACTGACCCGGCAGCTAGAACAGTAACTAATACTGGGGGAAACTGATTCCCACCACAGTGTGTCTGTTTGTGGGCAGTAAGTGAGAGTCTAGAGCAGGCAGAGCACCCTGCTACCCCGGAGAAAGACTCCAACCGTCCTGAGATTCCCAGACTGGGGCAGAAGGTAAAGGGCTTCTATTTTCCTTCCATAATTATTTCTTGCATTTCAGAAGAAAATAGAGAGAAGGGGGAAGAAGTCATCAGAGGGCTTTTTCAGAGCTATGAATCTAACCTGTGGTTGTACTAGTCAGACTTTACCCCCATTTGGTGAGTAAAGTCCAACCACAGTATCCAAATATTCTCAATCTACATCCAGATGCAGGTGGGAGGGTGTGCATACACCCCAAGTTTGGATGTGTTGGCTCAGTCAGGTGGAGGCTGCAGACTATCACAAACGTGGGGTCGTCTGGAAGTCTACCCACCAGAACTAAGTCTACCAGAACTAAGTCTACCAGAACTAAGGTTTGGAAAAGTGCAAGGGGCAGAATCATGAGTCCAAGTTCAAGGCTCAGTCCAGGATGACAATCAGCCTCAGAAAGCAAAGCGTTGCTAGACCTACGGGTCAAAGAATTTTCTAGACCTTCCATTCTTGTTCTGAGTGGTCATTAGGTCTACATAACCTAGTGCTTCTTGACCTTCTTTTCACTCCGTCCACTAGTCTTTTCTCACCATCCCTCCTGGAGAATGGCTAATCTAACCTCAGGCCTGGGCTTGCATATCACTGGGCCTCAGATGTCCTCACTGAGAAAGGGGGCCCCACACCTGCTCCTTCTCACCCAACCCACTCCACTGCCATTAGAAAGTCTATAAGAGCCAAAATGTCCAATTACTGCAAGGACCTTAGAGGGCCTACAGAGAGGAGGTGCTCAACAAAGCAGGCATTATCGCTGAGCTTGCCCACCTGGTACATGCTGGTTAAGAAGCCGAGGTCTTTTGTGCTGAGCTGAGACTCAATAGCACCTCCTCCTACTGCAACAGCAAAAAAGGAAGAAGAGGGGGGGTGGGGGGGTACTTTGCTGCAGTCATAAAAGACATTTTCTTCCAAAATGCAAGAAATAATTATGGAAGGAAAATCGCATGTTGTGCACTTGAGAGAGCCCTTTAAGAAAACTTAATGGGTCTAATTTGCCATAGAAGGAATTACCATAGGGAATCAGATACGGCGTGTGCACAGCGCTGGAGAGATTACAGATCAAGTCTAGTGGGCTGGACTAGAAAGGGGAAAATCCTTAAAGGAGGTAAATACCCTATTGATCCAAAAAGTCCCTAATATTTTTATGATTAAATTCAACTTACCTAATGACTTAAAAAGAAAGAAAGAAAGAAAGAAAATACCAATGCTACTTGTCAGGCATTGACTGGGAAGATCTCACTTGAAGTTGTGGTCAAATTCTGTATTTGGAGGACGCCCTGTGGACATTGAGGGCCTGGGGACTGTGTTCTGTTCTCTTGCCTTTGGGGTCCTCCTCTCCTTGCTCCACACTCAATGAAGGTCATGGCAGAGGGCTGCCAACTTTCTCTGCAGTTTTCTGAGCCTTCTGGCCCAAGAGTGAAGGGGCATGTTTTCATCCTTAACCTTCACTTAGAAGAACTTTTCTGAAGTCTCGTCCAGAAAGCAGAAATGACTTTGGATTCCAGGGGCCCTTCCCTCTCATCCTTCTTCACCCTGCCCTCCAACACCCGCTCACACTCCACCTTCACTTAGGATATAAAATGGGCCAATCCGTGGGAACATCGGAGTTCCAAACCCTGGCAGCCTTGACTTGTGTTTGATAGGCTCCCCGGGGAGATCCATGGTCATCCTTCCAGGCCCATGACCCTGTCCAGGCATAGGAGAGAAGTCTTCCTACTGGGGTCTGGGGACTCGTGGGTACTGGCCCAGAAAGGGTATCCAAGCTCGGTTCTTCGTTTATGTGCAGAACGCAGGTCTTTGTATGATGCAGGTGGCGACGATGGTGATGATGGTGGCAGATTTGTGAACATCCCCAAGGATTTGGTGCCAGATTCACACAATCCCAGCCCTTCTTAGTATTGCTATGAAACTGTTTTTAGCAAGGAAGCAGATACGTCAAGAGTCCGAAAACATAGGGCCTCCCACCTTCTTAACTCTCCCATCTCTTGCTGTGTGACCTTGAGAAAGTTATACACATTCCGTGGGGCTTCAACCTCCTTCCCTGAAAAGTGGCAGGTGAGAGGAGAGATTAGACAAATGTACTATGTTCCAATGTTGGTACTCACACCACCGACAAGATGATTCTGGCCAGAGGTTGGCAGACTCATTCTCAAAGATCCAAATAGCAAAGGTTTTAGGATTTACGGGCCAGTCAACAAAATTAATGATATTATGATAATATGGGTACTTATTTTAAAATACAAAATCATTTTTGGCTGCATTTAAAAGTAAGTGGGAGGTTGGATTTGTCCTGCCGGCTATAGTTTGCTAACCTCTGACCTAGGAGGTGCGTGAATGAGCAATTCCTATTTAAATGCTTATGTATTATTTTATGTACATTGAAAGAACACTAACTTTCCATTTATGGTAAGTAAACATTTATGTTAAAACAAAAAGGGAGTGGATTTTTTTTAAAATATTTTAAGTAAATAATGGTGCTTAGAAGTATATAGATGGAGTGAAATTATCATAGTAGCAAATGCCTAAAGAGTGGACTGAAGACATTGGATTAGATGATGGATAAAACCTAACTGTCTTAGAATTCCATCTTTCCTTATCCAAGGACTTGGAATCTAGTCTTTTCCCTGATGTTGACCAGTGCAGTGATCCCGAGCTGCTGTGCCCTCTGTACACGTGGAAAGGGACTGTCGCATTAACATTATTTCAAGAATCAGAGAAGTTGAGTGAATACATTTTTTTTTAAAGAGAGAGAGAGAATTTTTTTAATATTTATTTTTCAGTTTTTCGGTGGACACAATATCTTTATTTTATTTTTATGTGGTGCTGAGGATCCTTTGCCTACCAGTTGGCTGATTCTGCCCTTGCTGCCCGAAATCTCAGCGCCTCTACCCCTCAGCTCACACACCCCACTTCCAGGTCCTAGCTCAGAGTAGTTGTTCTGAGGAGGCCAGGAGTCATGAAGCTAAAACGCTAATGTACCCAAAGTGCATGGAGCCCAAAGTGTGGTGTTTGTGACAGTGACACATGCTCTTCTCCAAGACCTGGGGGTCAGATGTGCTGCAGAATTCAGAAGCCTTCAGGTCTTAGGTAATGCAGTGCACACACCCCAGAATGCAGATCACCCTTCAGGGACTCAGACGCCTCCAACACATTCATAACTCTGCAGTGAATCCTAGTCACTACATGGATGGAATAAATAAAACTGTTACTGGTTCTAGAATCATATGACAAATAGTTTTATACACTGTTACATATGTGCACATGCACATGTGTGTTTATACAAACACACATAAAAATATGTACCACCAATTCAGTGGTGTTTTGCTGGAGAATAAGTGTACCAAATACACATGTGCTTGTGCCCCCCCCACACACACACACACACTCACACACTCACACATACACACTCACACTCATACACTCACACACACTTTCAGTTGTCAAACTTAAGGATTTCAGAATTTGGGATATAATCCTACATAGCAATTCTTGCACTATACTCAGGAGCATATTGCTAGCCAGCATATGTCAGAGTTCCGAGGGTCAGCCAAGGTCACTAAGAGGCAGGATGGCACAGCAAGAGCCTCCATCCCCAAGTCCCAGCTTTGCCACTTTCTAGTTCTGTTTCTCGGGCGATTATCTCCACCCCTGTCCCTCAGTTTTCTCATCTACAAAATGGGGATAAACAGGATGTGGAGAGGATTAAAGAGCACCACTGTGACCAGCAGTTAGAGGGGTGCCTGGCCAGTGTCATTTTCAAAAACCAAAGGTTGCCCTGCTGGGAGCTCCCACCTGGTGTGGCTTCCAGAGCCCACCCCCTGCACCTCCTCACAGCCTCTCTGCCATTGCAGGGTGATGTTGGACTCGGTGACACACAGCACCTTCCTGCCCAACACGTCCTTCTGTGACCCCCTGATGTCGTGGACCGATCTGTTCAGCAATGAAGAGTATTATCCTGCCTTTGAGCATCAGACAGGTACGTACACCTGGAGGGGACCGTTTGAGACAGCTGGGAGGGGCTCCAGAAGGGGGTGCTGGCCTTGGGCAGACGACAATGCTGTGTTGGGGCCTCGAAATGGCAGTGTTTGGGATGGAGGCTGGGATGGGGAGGCCCAGGTGGAAGGACAGGCAGCCTCTTGCAGAAAGGAAACACTAGAATCCTCACCCGAAACTCTCCCAAGTCCTGTGTGGAATATCAGGTGCTCAGTCCACTTGCGTCCCTCTGCTGTTCCCAGGCCTTCCTCCTCACCCTTCCTCCTCTCTCTCTCAGCCCATTTTTCTCCACCTGAGAAGAAACCATGAGAACTTGCCCAAATCTCATGCCAGAGGGAGGCCAACTGAGCTTTGCCCCAGAAACTCTCTGAGGGCCTCTGTCCCTGAGTGCTTGGATGACTGCACATCACAGCAACCCTGGCCGAATGCTGGCCCGGCAGGTGCACACCCCAGGCAGTGATGCAAGCCCTCACCAAGTGTCAGTCCTCAGTGAGACTTAACCCTGCAAACGCCGGCCTAGTGGAGTCCAACCTGGTGTCCAGAGGCAGTGCCCAGAAGGGGCCAAGCCTCCAAGTCTGCAACACAGTGTCCACCACCACAGGGAAGCCCCCACCTCTGGGACCACAGGCCAGGGCTGCACACACACAATTAGGAACTCACCCACACCATGCAGTCCTATACCCACCCCATGCACACACTCACAAAATCTCTCGCCATCTTCAGAAAGATCTAGATCGTTGCATTTGGACTTGAATCATTCAGACACATAACACAGTTCTTCCTCAAGCCTAAGAAGCACATGGTTTCCCAGAAACACAGTGAGAAATGTACTCCACCTCCTTCCCCTGAAATTGGGGTAAGAGGTTAAATCTAAAGGGGAAAGTGACAGCTGTCAGGTCCCCATTCCCCCACGTGTCCCACCTAGGCATAAGGCCAGCCCTCATGTCACCCTGACCTGAGGGTGACAGGCCATTGCAGGACCTCCCTCCCTGCCTGTTCTCCTGGGTGGCAGCTGGGGCGTCAGCAGGGGGAACAACCTCAATGACCTGCAGGCACCATGCCCAGGCTCTGGGCTTCACGTTCCATGGTCATCGAGATCCAGGTGCTCTCAATATGAGGTCTGGCTTTGACACTCTCTCGCCCTCTCATGCCCCAAACCTCCCACCAGCCCCATGGGGATCACAGGTGCCTACCTAGTAGGGTGGTGATGAGCCTGAAATGAGTTAATATTTGTGGAGCATTTGGGCTGTGGTCTGGCACGTGGCCAGCACATGTAGTGTTTACAAGACGGGTCATTCGTTCCAGTTTGGGATGATGAGAAAGTTCTAGAGCTAGATGGTGCTGATGGTTGTGCAACAATGTGAACTTATTTGATGTCACCAACCTGTACACTTAAAAAGGGTTAAAATGGTAAGTTTCCTGTTCTGTTTATTTTTCCCCAATTTTTTTAAAAATGAAGAATCAAAAAGGAGTAAGTCACCCATGAAATTGCCAGTGTGGCTTAAATCTGTCCAAGTCTTGGATTCTCAGACACGGCCTTCCCCATGGAGGCCTTTGCATTTTTATGAGTGTAATAGAAGGTAAGGCCAGGTCATGGCTAGGATTCCTTCCAGAAGCTTCTCTAAATCCTGCATCTAGCAACATCACATTCATAGCCTTCTCTTTCCCCCACTCTTAAGAGAATAGAAATTTCCACAAGGTGTGAGGCCAACGTCAACACAATGTCCTTCAGGAGTGGCCTGGGTCCTAACATTCCCTGCCGACACACATGGCTTTTGATAAGTCACCGGGCCCTCTGTATTTCAGAAGCTGACCTCCTAAAGGTCAAAGCTGGGCATGAAAGCTCAGTCTGAGTGGACACCTCTCCGAGCTGCCCAGAGCCAGGTGAGCCTCACGGTCTCTGGCTCTCCTCGGGGTCCCCATGGTGGGAAGAATACCTGGAGGTACATTCCTGTCCTCTTCTGACAAGGACATTGCCACCCAGAGAGGTGGTGCACTGGTCCAAGTTTCCACAAAAGCACTTTCTACCAGGGAAGCATCAAGGACAGCACATTTGCCCCTGGGCACCTCTGCAAACTTTCAGTGCTGTGTGGCTCTGAGGCATCTCTCCGAGGTCCTCGCCCACCTCACAGGGACCTCTGTCTTGAATCAGAGCTTGCGTTGGTGTGGACCTAATGGCAGCTTCCTGTGCAAGTCTGGCTTCAAGTCCTGGCACTGCTGTTCACCAGCCCCGTGTCTTGCAACAAGTTTTTTGAGATATATTTTCCTTTGCTGAAAGAATAATTGCCTCCTAGCCTTGGGAGGAGGGAATGAGATTTCTGATGTTTAGCAAGGTGACAGCACTCGGTGAGGGCTTGCCATAGGAGGAACGTTTCTTAGTCCCCAGGTAGGTGCAGGGACAGCCAGCCGTCTCTCACCTCTCCTCACTCTTCACGTTGGACAAAAGCCACACCGGTCTCCATCGCAACCTTCCCAATTCAGAATTTTTGACAGAGTAGGTACATTGCAACCAAAGGGAGGGAAAGCCAGAGAGAAATGATGTTCCCCTAGATCGATGATGTCTAGGAGAGGACGGGGAGGAAAATACCCCAAATGGTTTCAGCAGATACAGCTGAAACTGTGCCCCGATGAGCTGCCCACAAAGGATTCCAACTCGCTCTTTGAAGGGAACTTTCATGCAACTGCACCACAGGCTGAAAGGGAGACAATCACAAATTGCAAAATTCCCTAGAATTGCATAACTCACCCTGACCTTGAATTTGGCTTTTTCAAAATAAAGAATTATCAATAGTGAAAATGTATTCAAGTTGAAGAGGCGCGTACATTTCACATGCGTACACTATTTTTTAAATTTTTTTTTAGTTCTAGGTGGACACAATATCTTTATTATATATATATGTGTGTGTGTGTGTGTTGCTGAGGATCGAACCCAGTGCCTCACGCATGCTAGGTGAGCACTCTGTCACTGAGCCATAATCCCAGCCCCAACATACACTATTTTTAAAAGATTTTTTTTCTCCAAGTTCCAGGAGTCAGTCCTGTGATGAGTCATTGAGTATTCTAGCCTAGTCCTGACTTCCTAGAGCTCTAACCTAGACCTCCACATCCCACATACCTGTCCCCTGACTGCCAAGGTGGCTGTGCCTACACCAGGGACCTCCTGGGCTTTGGAATCTCACTTTGTCTGTAGCAGAGGTTTCCAGGCTGGGGCATTTCTAGGGGTTCTCAGTACCTCAGGGCACACCCTAGAAGAGAGCTAGGTCCCAATGACAACTGGACTCATGCTCCACCCTCTCCACCCCCATCCTCCAGCAGTTTCCTCCACTTGACTTCTAAAGACAGTAAAGCACAGTGGGTATCGAGGTTTGGCTGCAGGAGTTAGAACACACCTATAGGACCCACTCCTAGCTCTACCCTTCACCAAAAAGTCACCTGAAGACTTCCTTTCTTCATTTGTGACATGTAACCGTAGAAGACTTCATAGCATGTGGGGAGTATAACATGAGAAAACACAGGGCTTAGCATGACAGGCATAGGTGAAGCACACAATAAATATGTTAGCTATCATAATCAAATGTGAGATTTTATTTTAAGAAAGAACTTTTAAAAAGAAAAAAAAAAAGTAAAATCACTGAGCCAGAAAATCAGGGAGAGAGGCATTTGGATCCCACACAGGCTTTTCTTAACAAGATTCATGTGCTTGGGTAGAGATGTTTGAGAGCAGATAAGATACAAAGGTTAAGAGTCTCAGAACTTCTATATCAAAACCGTATAATCAAACACAAAATCATCTGGAAGTCTGGGGCGCCCTGTGGCAGCAGTCACATCCCAGGGGACCTTGCTTCTGCTTCCTCCTCTACACATCTGAGCCTCTGGGTAGCGTGGCCCCGACACCCCCCAGGCTTGGCCCTCTCTGCACCTCCCTAACTCACCCTGACAAGCCATGGCCCTTGGCAGATCCCAGCCGGCTCTCCTCCTCTTTCCTGCATCCCATTTCCTACACTGCTCCTGGGCTTTCTTTTTCCCATCTCATGGTCTGAGTCATTCCAGAGGTTGGGATGGGGAAGCCAAGACAGCCCACTGGATGGGCCTAGCCTGGCTCCAGGAGGAATCTGGAAGCAGTTTACCTATCAGTGCCGGTTTTCCCTCATAAAGTCCTTCTTGCAGTGACAAAGCTACAATTGATGGTGCCCCTCCTCGCTGCCCAGTTCACCCACCACCGCTCTTTAGGGCCGCCTGGGGCAAAACACTTTCCCAACTCCCTATGCTAATACATCATGCTAATTATGGGCTGCAGTTGCCTGGCTCAGGCCTCCTCTGAGGCAGACTGTCTGCCTCCCCCTCACCAAGCCCTCTGCTGACTTTGTTCTGGTGTCCCTCAGCTAGACCGAGGAAAACCTCCCTTCCCTGAGAACAAACGTCATCCTGCAAGGGGAGTTGAATAGCAACGGTCCCCTTTCCAGTTCCCAGTGTCCCCAGGGGGGCCACTTCAGGCATGGATGTTACCTGCCAATGCTGTGAGCACTGGAGAACACCAGCTCAGCCCTGACAGAGCTCAAGTCCTTCAGAATTTAAATACCTCCCAGGATATGTTACCACCATGAGAGTTCCCCCAGAATTGCCAAAACTCCCTCTAGCTCCCCAACGTCCCTCCCTTTGCACCTGGCCCTCAAGGTGTCCTGACCCACTTCCGACTTCAAAGGAGCTGACACAGCCTGCTACTTAATAGTGGCCTTTGGACACAGGCTGCTGGCCAGCCTCAACCGGAGACACAGCAGGAGGGCCGCAGAGCTCAGTTTCCCCACCAAGTTTAGCTGATGTTTTAGGATGATAGTTTCATTAAGGAAAACTCTAGGCATTCTAAAATACACTTGCTTAAAGGTGATAGATGTGCGGATGTACGAATTCATCCTTTATCTTCCCTGAATTCTTTTCTTCCAAGTAGCAGAAGGGTCTTCTTTATGTCATTCGCTGGGGTTGGAAATACTGGCATCACCATCTCTCCATCCGCTTTCTGATTTTTCAAATCTAGACTAGACAGACAGACAGACAGATCTTTCTCCTTCTTGACCCAAATCTTATTTTAGTCATTCTTTGAGGTAGGCACTGCCCTTGGTTGGCGTGGGCCCAGTGTCCCTTACTGACCACACCGTGACCTTAGGGGGATAGAGAACCTCAGTCTCCTCATCTGGAACAGGAGGTGATAATCACTGGTCACCCTGTTACACCAGCTGTGGTCTGGGTCAGGCTCCCCGTACCCCCAATTCAGGGTGGGCAGAGTCCAAGGTCTGGGGAGGGAGGTGCTGTGAGTCCTCTGAGCACTTCTGAGAAGGGCGCCTGAGGGGAGGGGAAGAGCGGGGATTATGCTAGAGATGGCAGAAGGGGACGAGAAGCACCTGTGGAAAGGCCATGGAGCAACCTGAAGGAATGGACGGGCTGTGACAGGGAACGCAGGGTGGCAGGGGTGGATAGGGCGGGCCTTCTCACCTCCCTCAGCCTCCCCAAGGATGGGACCATGGAAACACACCACCACCAAAACCACCCCTGGGTGTTGGCCCTGTGGCCCTCCTTCATGTCCCCGAGGACAACCGCCTTCCTCTCAGCTCTGGGCTGTGGGAGGCTGTGCTGACGAGGAGCCAGCCACTCTTGGCTCTGGCCCCCAGCTGCCCGCCAGGGCCCAAGCTGCACACAAAGCCTGCTCTGTGGCTGAGCCTGCCTCCCAGAGCAGCCGAGAACAGGGAGCCAGGCCAGCAACACCTGCCTAGTGTCAGCATCCACCCCCACCCGGGCACTTCTCCGAATCCTTGAGGCCCTCTTGGCTTCCAGAAACAATATGGTCCCCTTTGAGTGCCAAAGAAAATAGCAAGGTGGTAGAAGTGGAGAAGGGAAGAGAAGAGCGACTCGGTGGAACCTTCCCATGAGCAGAAAAGTAGGCTGTGGCCTCCCACGGTCACACACCGATAGCCATCTCAGCCAGCAGGGCCCAGCGGGACCAGCGTCTGAAGAATGTCAAGGCTCATAAACATCTCTCATCAGGAAACCAGGAACGTCCAAAGGCCCCTCAGATTTACTCAAGCCAGAAATCAGTAGATGAAAGCACAGAACTGACTTGGGCTTGGCCCCTGTTATCCCAGGAGCTCCTGCACGCGTGTGGTGACCGCCATGTGCCTGACAGGCCGGCCCCAGCCAGCAGCCAGGGAGCAAGAGCAGGGGAGGGGGGACTCTCAGCCCTCCTGGCCACCTCACGCTTCTCACCCACCAGGTAGAAGCAATGACATCAGCCTTCACCAGCCTGGAGGAATATTGACTCCTTCATTGACATGCGTGTGAAATTCTGGTTAAAATTTTTAAATAAATCAAAACAAATCTACTGCCCCTCAAACTACTTCATGATGAGAAAAGAAGTTTCTGGAAGGACTTTGAATTTTAAGGAGAGCCTCAGTTTCCACCTCTGTGAAACAGCCCCATCTCACCTACTTGGTAGGGTTATTGGGAGAATTTGAGAGACTTGAGATAGTGTCACCAAGGACATGTGGCACCTTCGTGACATGCAGTGGGTGCTTGGTGAGCAGTAGCCCCTGGAAGGTCAGGGAGACCATTCCCTCACTGGTTCAGAAGTGCCACAGCTGTGTTGGGGCCAATGGCAGTGGATGTAGGATTGAAAGTGGAAATAGCAGTAGCACTAATTTGCTGTGGAATCTAACTCAAGGGACCCTTCCTGTCATCCACACAGCCTGAACCAGACACCTTCGCTGTCCTCTGCTCTCTGCCTTCCCCCTTAGCCATCTCCTGCTCTCTAGCTCTGTCTGCCTCTCTTCTCATTTTCTGTCTCTTCTCTGTGTTGACCCTCTGAGGACCAGTATGATTGGATGGGAAGGGCAGGGAGTGACTTCCATGTTCAGACTGGGATTCAGATCCCAGCTTTGCCACACACTGGCCAGGGTATCTTATGACATTTCTCATTGACCCTGAAGTTCCTCATCTGTGGCCTCCTAAGAGACAGGGACTAAACCTGCCTTAGCTACCACGTATTCCTAACACAGATTTTGTTGCATCACATAAAGTAGGGACACAATGATAAAGTTAAGAATAGTATCGAAATCATCCAGGCTCTGTCCTAAGTACTTTTAAGTATATTAACCCATCCAATCTGCAAAACAATCCTATAATATCGGTGCTATAATTATCCCATTTCACCAATGAAGAAACTGAAGCTGTCATTTATTGAATGGATGGATGGGTGGATGGATGGATGGATAATACCATTAGATTACAGGAATTATTTACATCAAAGTTAGACCTAATATCTGATACCTCACCTCTTACCCCTGTCTGCCACTCTCCATTTTTCCTTGGGACACTAGGACAGAGATGCTGAATTTCTAGTTTCTGCCCCTGTGCCAGGTACTGCCATTTCCCAGCCTCCCAGACAAGATGGCACCCACAATTGCCTGGTGTATATGCAGCTTATTTGGAGGAATGAGGGGCTCTGATCTCAGAATAGAAAATTCTCAAAACACCACCAAAAAACACAAGAACACCAACAACAAATTCTCCCATGTCCTGCTTCCTCTAGAGACACTAGCTATCATGGTCCAAGCTCTGTTAGACTCTAGGCAATGTCTAAACATCCCGAGCCCTTGGCGGGAGATGGCCAGAGACTGCACCAGCAGGTAGCCGTCATGGACTGCCCGTCCATGAGAACTGAAAGAATCAATCCAGCTTCAATGGATTGATGTGTTCAAATGTTTCAAATGTGTCTGGTACACAGTAGGTGTTTAACAACTGTTGAATTGCTTGGTCATGGTCTCTGCACCAGTCTACATACATTAATCTCCTGTGAGTCAATCATATTGTCCTCATTTTACAGAGAAGGAGACAGAAACTTAAATGGCTACAGACTTTGCCCAAGTGAAAAGCAGCCAAATCAGGATCTGAACCCAAGCCTCTTGGGCTCCTGAGCTTGCCCTCTTGATACCGTGTTGTGTGAAACCAAATAGCTGAGGAGCATTTGGGTTTTCCTCCTTCATTGGATCCCTCTTTCTAAATACCAGAATGAGGTCTGGTTATCTTCCTTCTCTGGCCCTAAAGTCCATCTGCAGGACCCAGTCCCTCTGGTTTTCTCTGCAAAGTAGGAGGTGGCCTGGGACCCTGCAGGACACCACAGGGCTGGAAGACCTTTCAACCCACTGAGTGAGGGATGGGGATGTTACAACTGGGGGCCTTGGAGATCCTTGTCCCTCACTTCTCTCTCCTCTGGTGCAGCCTGTGACTCCTACTGGACTTCAGTCCCCCCTGAATACTGGACCAAGCGCCACGTCTGGGAATGGCTCCAGTTCTGCTGTGACCAGTACAAGTTGGACGCCAACTGCATCTCCTTCTGCCACTTCAACATTAGTGGCCTGCAGCTGTGCAGCATGACACAGGAGGAGTTTGTGGAGGCCGCTGGCATCTGTGGGGAGTACCTGTACTTCATCCTCCAGAACATCCGCACACAAGGTCAGGTCAGGGTCAGAGTGCTTGGGGTGGGACCAGATGCCCTCTAGGGTCCTTCCCTTCCATGGGCCTTGCAATGCAAAAGTTAGCTGGAACTCTCAGACAAAAACTCTCAATAAACAGAAGCTACGTTTGGGAACTTCAAGTAAAAGGGAGTAAGTTATGAGAAAGCAAGTTGAGCATACTTTTAGAAAGAAAAGCTAAAAACGCATTGCAGGATTGCCCAGGAATCAGACCAATGTTCATGAAGATATGAAACTACTTGGGGTAGACAAAAAGATATTTCTGCTTTATCTCACATTAGTCATAAGGGGAAAATATCAAATAGACCCTTTTCTGTTTGAAGAGGAATCCAAATATTTGGCATTTCATTTTTATCACCTTTCTGATGGTCATGCACTGAATGGCCAGAAGGTGGCGCCATTAACAGGATTTGACTTGAACATCCTCTGAGAGCAGGATGTTGCTGAGAACTGTTTTTTTCAAACGTGAAAGGTTTTTTGAAAACATCTAATTCTGTGTAGCAATGTCGTAGATAATGGAACTGCTGTCCTGAGTAGTTAAGCGACCTCCCCAAAGTCGCACAGCAAACATGGCTGATTCACTGCACAGCCTTGATCTCCAGTCTCTTTACTGGGAGGATGATACACACCTCCAACGGGCTTCCTGAGAGGATTTAGTGAAATACCACCTGGCACAGCACACGAGGAAGCCAGTGCAGTAGATGGAGCTATCTTCACCATCTTTCATATCACCAAGAGGCAGAGATTTTAACAGCAAAGGAAGACCACCTCAGCTCAATTTTAACAAAGCTCCTTCTATGAGTTGGCACCTTCTCTTGGAAAGGCTACATCAGGAGGCACAGGAGGAAGGAAGGTCCCATCTCTGGAGATGATCAAACAGTCAAGCCCCTATTGAAGGAGGTGCTTTGTCAAGGATTCCTATTTCCACAGAAAGACCACACCAGACCTTCCAGCTCTGATTCTTTGGTCTTTATTTGCTCCTCTCCAACGCAAGGGCAAGAGGGCAGGAAAGCCAAGGAGGGCCAACTGGACCCTTGTGAGCCTGTGCCCTGAGCTGGGACCGTGGCCTGTATTAGAGTGTGCATTCCCTGACAGGGGACAAGCATCTCTGGGAGAAGTTGTTCAGGGCTCCACTCAGGATCTCCTGAGGGAACCGCCTTGCATGAGAATCCCAGGACCATGGAGAGGAGCATACTTCATCCTGGAAGAAACAGCAGCCTGGCACTGCCAGTTTGGCCAAATGCCAAGTGTGTCCAGGCACCAAACTGTCCCTGGGCTGGGGCCATCTATCATTAACACCTCCTATCTCTGGCAATTGTTATATCCAAAAATACCTATTTCTGGTCCCATTAGCTCAGGGATCTGGGCGAGATGGATGAACTAAAAGCTGATTGCTTTTTAATAAGTCATTGGTAGCTTATTTTTTTCTAAGGGACCCATGGTGACATGTAAGGCATTCTCCAGGCCAGGAGGGCTTCTCATGGAGCAGTAGAAATCTATTCCACCAACCTGCTCCTTTCTAAAGTCCCTCCTCCAGTGTTTCTCCAGAAGGTCTGTGTACATATGTATTGTGACCAAAGTTTACACAGTCCCAATTGTCCCAGGACATTGTTCTCATCTATTGTCCTGAAATAATTATTATTAGTGATGCCTTTCATTCTCAAAAGCATTTCCATTTGGACAATAAATTTGAGGTCATTATTTATTTTATGCTTTGTGTTACCACCATAAATTAGGGAATAGGACAGATGAGGGAGTTTGGGACAGGAGAGGAGCTAGAAGGGGAGGTCTAGGGCCCAGAGAACCACAGTAGGATTTAAGGACCCAGAACCATGAGGGTGTGGTCACTGGAAGGAGAGGTCAGTGGGAAAGACGGAAGGCAAGAAAGCAAGTTGAGCATATTTTTAGAAAGAAAAGAAAAGCTTAAAAACACATTGCAAGGACTGCCCAGAACCAGACCAATAACAACCATATAACACAGGATGTTTGTTGAGAGCCACAGCCGAAGGGGCCCCAGCAAACTTCCAGCTGCCAGCAAACTTCCAGCTGCCGGCTGATGATTGGCTCACAGCAGCCCCAGCAACATCTAGCTGATTGGCTCCTCGGCCCCAGCAACATCTAGCTGATTGGCTCCTCTGCATTGATGCTCATTGGGCTGTTTCCCTGCCCTTTCAGACCGCGGAGCTGCTCATTGGGGGACTTTTTTGGCTCCGCCCACGTGACCCAGCCAATCGGCCTCAAGAGCAGGAGGATAGGGAGGTGGAGAGAAGCTGGTGGGGGAGAGAGAGGCTTGTGGAAAGCCGGTGGTGGCAGTTGAGGCTCTGAGGGTTTTTCCTGAGAGGCTATTTTGTTTGGCGTGTGTGGTTCTAAAAATAAAGTTAGTTTCTTTTGACAAGTGGCTCCTGATTGTGCCCAGCCAGACTGCGGCAGATGTTCATGAAGACGTGTGGGAGAAGATGAGTCCTGTCCATCCCCCATTCTATTCTGGTCTGTGCTTTGGGTGGAGTCATCTGAGGGGCCATGGCTAACCAAAACAAATGAGGACACGGCACCAGGAAAGAACAACCACATACGTGCCCTGTTCCCCATCTCCTCCGTGAATAGAAAACAGAGTCAGGAAGCAGTCAGTCCTCGTGTTGGGCACCAACTTGAAAATGTGATCTGAAACTCCCAACTCAAGCCCAGCCCACCCCAGGCTGCAGAGTAGGGAAGCAAGGCCCTGGTCTTCCAAATCCTGGGTGAACTTGGCACTCAGGTCGGGTTTTATGCCCCTTTTGGCCTCTTGTGCCCATGCTCCCCTTTGATCACCACTTTTAATCTCAGGGGATTATAATACCGCATCAGAGGTCATAGACACAGAACCAAAGGGGAGCTGAGTGGGTGCTTTGTTTCAGGTCACCATTGACAACAACCAGTGACCCCAGACACCACCTGACTGGCAAGGCCACATGGGGTTCAGTGGTCCCGACCCGCTCAGAGCCCAGCCCTCTGAGTCCCCAGCCCGGGCTCCCTCCCAGTGCCCACTCAGAAGGTCCACAGAGCCTGCTGGGACGCTTGGCTCTAGTTGCTCCTTCCAAGTGACCTTGAGAAGGAGATTGTTACCTCTGAGAGGTGGCTTCAGGGTGTTCTATAAGGACCAGATGGTCCCGGAGCTTCCTTCTGAAATATATCACCCTCCGAGGGAGCTGTTTCTCCCCTCCCCGCAACACGTCCTCTCCTGCAAACCCGGACTGAATGGTATGGTTTCTGTGTTTCTTTTTCTTTCCCAGGTTACTCCTTTTTCAATGACACTGAAGAGACCAAGGCCACCATCAAAGACTGTAAGTAATCAAGCTCAAGCTGCCCAGGGCTATGCCATGGCTGGGTGGGGGCACGTGGGCTTGATGGGGCTAGAAGGTTGGTGACTGAAACAAGCCAAGACCTGGAGAAGAGAGTGGGAAGGGGCGTGGCGGGGAGAGCGAGGATGTGGCTCTTGGGGCCACGGCTCAGGTCTGCGGAGTATCCATCCTCCCTGAGACTTTGTCTCCCTGTCTAAGAATGTCAGGACCCTGTGGGGTTGTGGTGAGTTCGACAAAAGTGCCAGGTATGTGCCAGCAGTGTGGATGCTCCAAAAACTGGTATCCATTAGCTGACATGCTAATGATCACTCAGCGTTAGAGGCCTCGTGTCAGTACCATTTCAAAACAACCTGAGCTCACCAAGTAGGTTGAATTCCTAATTATGAGATAATGAAGGATCTCAGAGGGTCTCACTCATCCTGAAGATCAGCTCCCCATTTCACTTTTTCAGACAGAGAAGATTCTGGAAAGGGCACTTTTGGAGCTTCCGTATTTTAAAGATGATGATGATCATTGCCATGAGTTATTAAGTCTCACCACAAAGGTTCTGGCCCAGGGACCTGGAGGAGAGGTGGTTCTGGGGAAACTCCTTCTCCCCGTGGACTCCCGCTCAGTCACCTGCAAAGAGGGCCAGAGCCTTTGTGTGACTTCCAAGGCCCCTGAGAGGTGTGAGCCAGCTGGGCAACACACAGGGACCATTTCTTATGATTTATTTCTTCTTTCTCTAAGGTCCCTATCAGTTTGTTTAACTCCTGGTTAACGAGAATTTAGGGTAATTTTGTTGTTTGTTTCTTGGAGCTCTACCACAAGAATAGCCACATCCAGGAGCCATGCTGTGGCTTCAGCAGCCCTCCCCTTTCTCACTCTGCTCCACAGAACCTGCTCCCCTCCCAGGAGAGAGGAAAGAAAAGGTTACCAGGAATAAATGGCAAGTGTAGAGGCCCCGAGGTGGGACGAATCTTGATCCCTGAGAAACGATCCAAGAAGACCAGGGGTCTCGCATTAACTTGTCTAGGCTGGTAGTCACTCACCACATGTGGCTATCTAAATTAATTAAAACTAAATAATACCAAAATCCAGCTCCTTAGTAGCACTAGCCATATTGTAAGTGCTCAGTAGCCACAGGTGGCCGCCATATTGGATTGCTCAGATTTTACCATCACCGGGTTCTCTCAGACAGCGTTGGTAAAGCATTGAGCCTCACCAGCACCAGCAGCAGGAAGGAAAAGACCTGAGGCAGAGAGTAGGGCAGGGCACATTTATGGGAAGCAGAATTTGGTTCAATCTGAGCAGGTGGGCAAGCTGCTAAAGGGTTATAAGCATGGAAATGGTAAGATCCCACCTGCATTTTAAGATCCCTCAGCTACTGTGTCTGGGGCAGAAAGGAGTGTGGCCAGGAGGCCTCAGTCCAGGACATAAGTGGTGATGGCCCAGACCAGTGATGGGGAAGAGATGGAGAGAGGTTTCTGAAGGTAGAAGTGGTAGGCCAAGGGCTGGTGGTTAGCATCTCTGGAGCATACACTCATGGAGACAAGTCATCCTCTCCTGGCGGCTGCCTTCAGCTCTGCCTAGTGTGCTCCCGTCAGTACACATGATTTCTAGACTGACTCAGGGGTAAGGCATCGGATGAGCCCACCTGAACACCAGCTTCACAGTCTCACCATGGCCCAGACACCAAAGCCTTCCCAGGGACCTCTGAGGCCTAGGTCTGTACTTCCGCAGCCCTGATGACCCACAAAACAGAAGCCCTAAGGTATAGTTTGAAGGGTACAAGATAAGTATAAAGGCAACACTCTGGTAGCTTATACAGTGAGCCCCTTCCAGAAATCCAGGACATACGGCCACAGAACCTATAGCCCAGGTGGCATTTCATGGTCTCTCACAGCCAAGAAACGAGAGGCTGCCTTTCAATGTTGATGTGCCAACCAGAGACCAACTCAGTACCCACCAAAAGTGCCAAGGCCCAGCAAGCTATGAAACCATCAGGACTGGCCAAAGCGAAGCCCCCAGCCCCTCTTGGCTTTGTCTTTTCTCTCCACCTGCCCCCACCCACCCATGCTGCCCAAACACCCCCGGGGGCTCCATGTACCCAGGAGCAAGTCCTGCAGTCCCGGGTCCTCTGCTGGTACCTCCTTGCTCTGATCCTCGGGGCATCCCCACATCGTCCCAGCATGCAGTTCAGACCTCATGGCTGGACTGCTAGCACCATAGCCTGGGATGGGCTTGATCTGGAAACCCCACCCCACGCCTCAGGACCCCAGCCCAGCTCCTGGAGAACACTTGACTATGATTTCAGTCAACAAATGAGAGAAAACCCTTCGGCCACATTTTAAGTTTCCAGACTCAAGGTCACCAAGCCTCTCCAACTCACAGTCAGCTGAGAACCCCGGGCCATGCCTCCACTCACCCCACACCAGGGACACAGCTGAGATTAACCAGCTGCAAGGCAGAGAGACCTGCACCCCTAAACACCACTGGCATTTGCAGAGAAATCTAGAGGGTTCGGGTGCCACTGAAGACGCACCAGCAGGGCTTGATGTGAGAACCTACCTCAATGTCGACACCGCAGTAATGACGTCAGCCCCTCTGCTCCTGCCACCACCACCACAATTGACACATCAGCCAATTGAGGCCTGAATCTAGTCAACCCATGAGTAACTTCAGAGCCACCACCAAATCAGACAGAACAGGACGGCCTCTGGCCAGTCCAACCATCCCCTGACCCCCACCACTGGTACCATCCCACTTCACCAAGACCTGCATTGTCTTCATGCCATCAGGCCGAATGCCCTTCTTCCAAAACACCAGGCAAAATCATTCAAGTTAGAAGGGTGACTTTTTCCTTCTCGTTTTGCCATTCTGGATCTCAATGAAAGCTTATTTTCTATTCATAATTAGTAATGCACCTTTGCCTATCTTTACGGGTCCATTTGTTTTCTTTCTTTCTAAAAGTTGAAGTCAAAACAAAAGATAGGTCTGGGGATAGGAATAGACAGACATCGCAAGGGTCCCTGAGATGGAGTGAGAGTCAGGCAATTGCCCACGCTCAACAAATCCTAGTGGATAACTTGTCATTCAATTCTACTGAACCCCTACCATGAAAGATGTGATAAGGGAGGAGTTGTGAGCACCAGCTTTGGAATTCTCTGGGTTCACGTCTTGGCTTCACCATCTGGAGAAAATTCCTAAGACTCTGGGTTTCTAATGCCTTCTCAGTAAAATGAAAATCACAATAATATCACACAGGGTTGTTGCCGCGCCCAGTGAGATGCCATATGGGAAGCACTTAACTGGACTCAGCATTGAGTACATGATCCCTATGTATCAGCTGTTAGAGGAGACAGGAGGAGATGGGTTTTTATAGTGGCGTGGAACCATTGCAGGATGCCAGGGGACTCACAGGAGGATCTAACCCTGAGGGTAAGTTCAGGGAAGGCTTACTGAAGAGCTGGGAACTTAATCCAGCTGGATAAAATGGCAGAGTGGGGAGCCTGTGCAAAGGCCCTGAGGTAGAAGAAAGCCACACCCCACTGGGACCATCTGTCCCAAGAGAAGGGAAAAATTGGGGGAGAAGAGGTAAGGTTGAAGGCCTGAGTGGTATCAGCTTATGAAAGGTCTTTGTGACAGCCCTCATCCTGGGGACAACAGAGAACCCCTGCAGGACATTGCATTAGTGAGTGACATGACTCAATGTCCCTGAGACAAGTCAACCTGGGCAACAGTGTGTGCACAGGACACCACGCTTCCCTTCTCCTCCTTCAGTGCAGCATATTACTGGCCCACACAGTAGGCACAGTTAGGAGGGTGGAGCATAGAGGCTGCTCAGTGACACAGAGCATGACTATATATACCCAGCAGTGTGCCAGGTGCTGATGGGGCACATCTGGAAAGACGACTCTCTGCTCCCCCATGGGCACAGACAGACAGTGGCCTCCATAAATAAATGCATAAAATAATATACTCAGATGGTTAATAAAGGGAAGCAGTCATGGAACGCTGCCTGGGGTACCTGCATGTGACTGCACCATGAGGAGTCAGAGAAGGGCCCCTGGGAAGGTGATTTTGAGCCAAGATTGTGTGAACCTGCAGATATCCAAGGAAAGAGCACTCCAGGCATGGGGAAGAGCAAGTGCAAAGGCCCTGGGGATGAATGTGTCTGCAGGTTTGAGGAGGAGTCAGAGGTGAGAGTGACTACAGCAAAGAGAACTGGAGAAGCAGCAGAGGATATGGGTCAGGAGAGACCAGACCTGGTGCTGCCATACACTATGGTGGGACGGCGTGTGTCCAGGTGTCTCCGACTGTCGCTCACAGCATAGCTTATACATAATGTAACCCAATGTCGACACCGCGCTTCCTCCCTTCATAAGCGCCGGTCAATGTGCCCCTTCCAATGTGTCCTCCACAGAGAGCCAGAGAGATCTCCTTAAAACGTGGACCTTCGCTTTCCACTTTGGTATCAAATCCCAAACCTCCCTGTGGCCTCCAAGCAAGTCCCCGCATGGCCTGCTGGCCACCGGCTACCCCGGCACCGTGGCTCCCGCCCTCCCCTGGCACAGGGCACCTGGCTCCCACCACACTGGCTCTGCACCCACTGCTCCCTCCACGGGGCCTCCTCCACCTACTCATGCTGATCCTGCTCATTAGCATAAATTTAGTCTCCTTCTCATGACGTGGGTGCGCCCCATCCTCGCCTCTCAAGTCCTTCACTACATTTAAAGCATCAGGCAATCCGTCTGCTTTGCCTGGCCAAGGAGTCCTTCCGTCCACACGAGTGGGGGCCTTGCCTGCTCTGTTCACTCTTATATTCCTGCACTGAGCCCAGAACCCCCAGTGTGGCAGGTCCCCGGGATCCAGCGCAAACACTGTTCAAAGGCATCTGCTTTGCATTTGGCCTCTTTGTCCCTTACCTGGGCTGAGAGCCCTCAGGTGGTCGGTGAGCATCTGCTCCTGGGTGTGACCCAAGGGCTCAGTGCTGCCTCTGTCCTTCTCCTTCAGATGCTGATTCCAACTGCTTGAAAACAAGTGGCATCAAAAGCCAAGAGTGTCACAGTCACAGTCGAACAAGTAAGTACAAAGACCCCGGTTTTCCATTTCTAACGTCCTCAGACCATCACGGGATTTGCCTGAATGAGCTCTGAAACTGAACTTCTGAGTGGGACCCGTTACTCCCCAAGGAAGGCAGAGCCACGGCTGATGGCTTTCGTTCATATCAGAATCAGGGTTGTCTCTTCTCCCTTGGAAAAGCAATTTTAAGAACTGAAGTGAGGAAGCAAGGACAGTTTCTAACCAGTTCGTATTTCTGAATGAGGAGTTTGTTTTCCGGGTCCACCCTCTGGCTTCTCTTGGAAGTACTCAGGGGAAGTACTCCCAGCATTAAGAGAACCACCCAGAAGCCCGGGAGGCTGAGGCAGAAATCGCAAGTTCAGAGCCAACCTCAGCAACTCAGCAAGGAAGGCCCTCAGCAATTTAGTGACACCCTGTCTCTAAATAAAATATAAAAAGTGCTGGGGATGTGACTCAGCGGTGAAGCGCCCCTGGGTTCAATCCCTGGTACCAAAAAAAAGGGGGGGGGGGCGGTGGCGAGAGGGAGAGAGCCACCCATGCAGAGTCAGGCAATCTTTCCGAGGGAGGTGTGGTCCCAACCACTTACCGTGAATTGAGTCATTACATAGTCTCACCTCTGGATGAGACATGGATGCTCTTATTCCACTTTACAGATAAGGTAAGTAGACAGATGGCAGTTACAGAGCTTGGAAGCGGGCAGCTTCCGGACCCAAACCCAAGTACCCAGTCTCAACTGCACTACCATGGGCAAGAGAAATGCCGACTTTTGTGAACAACAAAATTGCAGGTTTCTGCAGGCGACAGAATCATAGCACAACCACACCGTCTGCCAGAAAGGAGACCCTGGTGGTTTCATTCCATGAGAATAGAACATCTGTGAGCCACAGCGCTGCCGGTCAATGTAAATTTGATGTCTCTCTGTGTTTTGCTTCTGCTTAATTGGAAGACAGATGTTTCACAGTTCAGGAAGGTTTCAAATACAGCATTCATTCATTCCATAAGAAATTTCCCCAGAAAGCAGCAACTCTCAGGGGTTATTGAGAAGTTGTACAATTCTTCCTTTATTTTTTTTTTAATCATCTTTAATTGGGCACAGCGGCTCACAACTGTAATCCTAGCAACTCAGGAGGCTGAGGCTAGAGGTTGGGAAGTTGGAGACCAGCCTCAGCAACTTACCAAGGCCCTAAGCAATTTATCAAGACCCTGCCTCAAAATGAAAAATAAAAAGGGCTGGGGATGCAGCTCAGTGGTAAAGCATCCCTGGGTGGTTCAAAACAACAACCAAAAAAAACCCAACTTTTTTAAGTAACTAACTTTCCTCCCCTTCCCAAAAGGCCTCCAAAGTTCTCATCTCTGGGAATTTGTGCGAGACTTGCTGCTGTCTCCTGAAGAAAACTGTGGCATTCTGGAATGGGAAGACAGGGAACAAGGTATTTTTCGGGTTGTTAAATCAGAAGCCCTGGCAAAGATGTGGGGACAAAGGAAGAAAAACGACAGAATGACATACGAAAAGTTGAGCAGAGCTCTGAGGTAAGTTAATAGCATCGAATGCCACTGAGCCTTCAAAGACCAGTTATATAAAATGGCCGGCCATAGAAAATTGCCCTGTGTTTTTGCAGCTTTTATTTGATAATGGAAAGGTCATGAGACAAAACTCAGGTTCTTAGTTGCAGGTAGGATTGTGGTTTGTAAATTGACCTGCTGTCCTCCTCGTTCTTGGCAGAGTTCCCCGGGGATCACTCTGAATCCAGGCCATCTCTCTCACACACACACACACACACACACACGCACACACAATGTTTTGAACCGAGTATGGTAAAGGATGTCTGGGAAAGGTTTAAGTGTAAGCTGATAACAGGGTGTGAAAATACCAGAGTAACTGAAGACCAGCCTGTCACCGGAGAGGAATGAGGAGAGCGAGTGGATGTCCTGTTGTTTTCCTGGGGTACAAACCCTCTCTGGGTTTCTCTTGTGCTTTCTTTCACAGATACTACTATAAAACAGGGATTTTGGAGCGGGTTGACCGAAGGTTAGTGTACAAATTTGGAAAAAATGCACACGGGTGGCAAGAAGACAAACTATGATCTGCTCCGGGCATTAAGCTCATCGGATGGATTTCTCTTTTGAAACAATCAAGATTGCAATAGACATTTGAAAGTCTTTTTTTTTCTTTTTTAACCTGCAAATGTGCTGATGAAATTTCTCCACACCTCAGCTTACCCACTTGGGGTGTTGGCAGGAAGGGACGATGCCCTTTGGCGGTACCTTGTTCAAACACTATTTCCCTAATCAAGTGTCACAGAACCACAATAGCTAATGTCATTGGTGCTGCTCAGAGAGAAGGATCTAATTCTGCCATTTGAGACACACCCAATACTTCCATTCCAAAGCTTCCCGTGGTCTCCGGTGGTTAACTGTAGCAGCTCACAAAGGAAAAAAAAAAATGAAATCATGTTTAGTTCTTTAGCTTATAGTAGGAGAGAATGAGCTGTAAGACATACGTACTTTAGATTTTAAATCATTAAAGTCAAATTCTGCAGAAAAGTATCTGAACAAAAGAGTTAACCCATTAAGCTGGAACATAATTGGATTTAGCATAGGTTAGTCATAAATTGCTTAACCAGAGATCTTCTTGACCATTCAGCAAAACTCCATGGCCCACCTTCTGAAGTGACGACACTTCAAATTAGCCACAATATTCATTGAGATCATCCCCCCTCTCATCCTGACCAGTGGCTGGCATCAGATATGCAAAAAGTTAGTCAACAGACACTTGCATCAATTTCTAAATCATTGCTGTTTCTTGATTCAAGTGGTCAACTCAGTAAAATCATAGCTCATTGATTCTGTCTGTGGTCAAGACATTATTCAACCTTTATAGAGCTGGATATGTCCCAAAACGTGTAATGGCCAATTAAGTGGTCTCTTTTGTTTCATCTTCTTGCCTGGTATGTACTCAAGTACTAAAATATATTTCCTTGAAAAAAAATAGCAACAGTGAATTGACACCAATAAATGTTCACGAGTTAAAATCTGCACTGACATTTTCTCATCATTCACTGGTATGTCAGTCGTGACCTACAACTAAGTGGACTGCACCTAGGACTTCCACTTCACCACAACTGGAATCATCAAGCGACGAGGCACTGATCCATGACACAGGCTGCAGACCTCCACGTTCAGTTTAACTTCAAAAGGAACTTGTTCTAAAAAATGTGAATTACTGTAAGATAATCTATTTTTGGATTCATGTGTTTTCCAGGTGGATATAGTTTGTAAACAATGTGAATAAAATATTTAACGTATGTGACTGTCTGCATTGTTCGGTTCAGCAGAGGAGGTACATACAGCGAAGTATTGTCAACACCTCCGGACACAGTGCCCTCACCTGTCATTCCAGCTGCTCAGGAGACGGAGGCAAGAGGATCACACGTTCAAGGCCAGTCTAGGCAACTTAGCATGACCTTGTCTCAAAGTAAAAGATAAGAAGGTCTGGGGACAAAGTTCAGTGGTAGAGTGTCCCTGGGTTCAATCCCAAGCATCACCAAAAAAAAAAAAAAAAAAAAAAAAAAAAAAAGGTATCGAATTGACAACCTGTTAAAAACCCTGGTGATTTTTAAAGAGCCCCAAAAGATTCAAGAAATATATGGAATGATTCTACCCATCACCTTTAATATTATAAAAGAGAGGTCCACACACAAACGAGCTCATGCGCTAGCAGAGCAAACAGATGCATTTTTGTGATACACAGTGTGTGTTAAGTTGTTGATGATCTGAGGTTGTGTTTGATTTCTTATTGGTAATTGTCTTCTTTAGAAATCAGGAGATTTACATAAAAATCCAGATTTCTAGATTCTTTTCAGATATCAGATCTGGCAATACTAGTTTCTTAGTCATTTTTGGCCTGAATTTTCTGGAGCTAAGCTGAAGCTGCACCTACGGGCACAGAATCTGGTCACTTCCTACTGCCCTCTGTTTATAATGTCAGCTACCTTCCAGCTCTGCTCTGCCCTGTTGATTTTGGGCTCGGTTTAATTTTGCGTACATTCAGAATGCCTTTACATTTTGAGTTCAGGACCCCCGCCCCAGTCACCTGTCAAGGTAAGTGCTCTGTTAAATGACTGGAGCAAAGCCCAGGGTGAGGTTGAGAGAAGAGATGGTCCAGGAATTTGGAAGTTAGCTTGGAGCTTGCAAGCAAAGAGCTGGGCCAAGAGGCTCCAGGAAGGGCGGGCCCTGAGGTGGGCACAACAGGCAGAAGTGGGCAGGACCCTGGAGTAAGTGGTGGCTCCTTTCCCTCCTGCCCCAGCACATCAAGGGATCCAGAGAAAGCTTGACCTTTCTGCATCTCAAGCATGTATTTCACAAAACTGTTAAATCAGCATCCTCTGGATGAGCTTCATAAGGCTGCCCGAGACAAATGACCAAAGTTGGTGGCGTAAAACTAAAGCGGTGCATCCTTCACAGCTCTGAAAACGGCAAGTCTGGGATTGAGGCATTGCCAGAGCTGGGCTCCCTCCATATGCTCTTGGGGGCGGGGGGGCCTCCTTCCTCACCTCTTCCAGCTTCTGGGGGCGCCTGGTATTACTGGCCTTGTGGCTACCAAATTCCAAGGCACCACCATCTTCACATGGTCTGCTCCTCCTTCACCCCCTTGGTCTCTCAGAAGGACACCTATCCCTGGATTTAAGGCCCACCTGGATAATCCGGATCCCCTCATCTTGAGGTCTTTCATGACATCAAAGGTTCTTTTCCCAATATGGTCACATTCACGGGTTCTGGGAGCTAGGACATGGGTACATCATTGGGAGAAACATCATTCAACCTGCTACTTAAGCATGTAGCTTAATTCATTGCAGAATGGAAATATAAGGGATTGTGGAAAGTGCTACACTTTAACTTTAAACATTACTCTAAGTAAAAGTAGCCAGTCACACAAGACCACATGTAAACAGAATGTGGACCCCGTTTAAAAAGAAAGTGCAGAGTAGGCAAATCTGTAGAGAAGAGCTTAGATTTAGATGGCCCAGTGCTAGGGCCAAAGGGCAAATAAGGAATGACTGCTAACTGGTAAAGGGTTTCTTCAGAGTGTCATGGAAATGTTTAACATTGATTGTGGTGATGATTACAGGATTCTGTGACTACATTAAGAACCTTGATTTATACACTTGAAATGGGTAAATTTTATGGCATGTGAATTGTACCAGCCCACTGGTACTTGGCACTTGGTTGCTTCCACAGTTCAGCTACTGTGCATAATGCTGCTATGAACTTAAGTTTGAGTCCCTGCTTTCAGTTCTTTTGGGTATACATCTAGAAGTGGAATCATTGGATCACTGGAATTTAGCAGCAAGGGAATCATCAGTGGCCTGAATGAATGGAGTAGGTTCAAGAAAGGGCTGAAGATAGCAGGATGGCAAATACAGGTAACTCTTTCAAGATATTTCTCAGTAGAGGGGAGAAAAATAATAATAACAACAGAAGGCTCTGAGGTCAAGAGAGGGTTTGATGAGAATCTTAACAGCAGGTTTGTATGCTAGGAAGAATGATGAAGAGAGGGCAGAGGGGTGGGATCGGTGCACACATGGGGGCCCATCTGCAGTATGAGCAGAGCTCATCTGTCAAGGTGAAGGAAAAAGAGCACGGAGACATCAATGCCAGCAAGTCAGAGGCTTTGGCTGGAGGAAATAATAATGGAGTTATCTCACATTCTGATGAAGAACTGAGGGATGGGGTGGCTGGGGAGGCGAGAGAGACAGATTTCCAGGCAGTGCTGAGGGCCCCTTGAAGCCTGTGGTCAGATTCAAGAGCACCCAGCCAGCAGGGCTGTTTTGTTCTAGCCACAATCATCTTCTCCAATGCAAGAGCTGAACAGGTGAGAGGTGGGTTTTACCAAGGTAGGGTTTTAAAGCAGTATCATTATCAACTATATAAAATCTAAACAGACAGTAAAAAGGGACGACGAGCAAAAGGAGGGTGACAAACAGTGAAAAGGTGGCTTGGTTGGTGGACTGAAGGCTCCAGGAGTGCCCCAGAAGGATGGGAGGGGAAGCCCATTGCTCAGATATCCACCCACATATCGCCTTCATGGTAGGAGACACTTATTTCCTCACCCTCTGCCTTGGGGCTCAGCCATGCGACTCGCCTTGACCAATGAGATGTGAGTACACATGATAAGAACAGAGGTTTGGAAAGCACTTGTGCAGTTGGGACTGCATTCCTGCACTTCTGCCACCATGGTGAATCCCAGGAGGATGATACATGTGACACAGGGTGACAGAGGCATACCTGCCAAACCACCCGAGCTGAGCCCAGCCTACATACACCAATCCCTAGCCAACTGGGAACAGAGGTGATGTGTGATTGCTATTCTGAACCACTGAGTTATAAAGTGGTTTGTTACAAAGCAAAAGCTAACCAAGACAGTGTGCTCAGAAGGCCGGTTAGACAGATGTGGAGGTTAAAGTCAAATACAATGAGTGATCATCACAACCCTTGGGAAATAACAATTTTGGGCCCCATGGAGAGATGAGGGAATGAATACTCAGAAGAGAGAAGCCATTTGCCCCAGTCCCCACAGGTAGAAAATGGCAGAGCTGGAATTTGAACCTAGGTCTACCTGGTCCTTGGTCACAGTAAGTATTGCTTCTCACCCATTTCATCCTTCTTATAAACTCAGCCCAGAAGCTCTTAGGAGATTTCTCAACATCACTTAAGAGGAACATAATCAGAGAGTTAACCTTATCAGTATTTAACTTTGAAAATCACAATAAGAGGCTTCCAGAGCAAAATCGGAGACACTTTCAAGTGTCCCGTATTTACACACAGGAAACATGTTAGATACGTGTGGTTTTAATTACTTATTTTTAGATTACGAAAAAAATCTAAAACTAAGAACTCTATGTCTTGATGTATATAATCAATTTTCAAATAACCTCCCTCCTATTATTGAATGATATTTATTTGTATGGGCTTAACTTAAAGATCTAACACTAGACAGAGATGACAGTAGTGAAGCTGTGCTAACAATATCCACCATTTGGTGCAAATGGATGGATTTACTTTCTACATCTAGAAATAGAACAGTGTCAAAGCATACTTAAATGCAGGAGGAGTTTAGACAGGAGAGTTTGACAGTAGAGAAAGAAGTTTGTGCTAAAACCTGAGTTTGTATCTATCTACTAGTGGTATAATGCTTTTCTGAAGTCCAAATCTCAAGAAGCTCCTAAGTACAAACTGGTTTTGAAGATGAAAGGAATAGGGATTTTCAAGAAAAATGGGTTTCATTTAGTATTTAGAATTTACCTTTAAAATCTTCCATGTGATTTAGAAGCATAAGGCAAATGTGAGTTTAAAGAAAAGGATAACTAAGAGTTCTGTGCCCCTATTTTTTAAACCTATAAAAAGTAAGTGAGCTAACAAAAGCAAGAAATCTAAGTATGATTTCAAAAGTCAGAATATTTGCTATTTTCTCACTGTTCCCGAAGGTTGCTTTAAGACTATGAATTTTTAAAAATAACGCAGTGTCCTCAAGATATTGGTACTTTCATTTTTAAGGGTAAGCATCTGAAGACAGATGATGTCTGGTGTCATTTTTCAAGTTATATATATAGTCAAAAGAAATCAAGGCGGGCATGGTGCTGCATGCCTGTAACCCCAGCAACTCAGGAGGCTGAGGCAGGAGGATAGAAAATTCAAAGCTAGCCTCAGTAACAGTGAGGTACTTAGCAACTCAGTGAGACCCTGCTCTAAATAAAATACAAAATAGGGCTGGGGATGCGGCTTAATGCGAGTTCAATCTCCAGTATCTCCCCCAAAAAAGAAAAAGAAATCAAATACTACTTCTTCTATTCTTAGAGATTATTTTATTGTAAAAATGTAAGCAATTACAAATCAGCTTGTTGCAAAATCAACGCTGTATTAGCATAAACACAATCCAAATGAAAACTGGAATCTGGTCAATTACAGGCATTACACATCAAGCTGCGATGGCACTACTATTCTCTGAAGACACTGATGCAGTAAGAGTAGTTTTCCTATGAGAATCTTAGAAAAATAAAAATTTGAGTGGATCATCTTTATATTTTCTTTTTATATAATTATAGCCACGTTTTTATTAATAGGCCATAAGGTGATATGTAAACATACTTATTTCACCAAGATTTTTCTTATCAAATAAAATCATATTTCTACCTAGAAATTTTCTTCTAGTCATTTTAAATGAATAATCCAACCAACTGTCGAATGCAAATACATGTTTCTTTTACATGATTGTTAAGCCTTAACTTTATTCTCTCCTAAGGAAGCA